GGGGGGGGGGAGGAAGCAGGTCGCCGTGACCCCCGCAGACCCTCGGGGGTGCCGGGCCAGGCCAGGCGCCAGGCGGTCAGGAAATGTTGAGGAATGAGGATTATGCAAAAGGAGCTGCACAAAGGAGGCACAGCACGGGAAGCACAACAAGGGGAGAGAGAGGGCTGAAATTTGGCGCGTGCACCACACCACGTCTCCTTACAAGAACAAAAGCGAGGCGGCAGGAGGAGGGTAGGTGGTTGCGGCGGCTGCCGAGGCCCCCGCGTGGCACCGCTGCCGTTCGTGGTGCACTCCGCCTTTGCTCCGCCTCTGCCGCCGGCCGGGCCCCCACAGCCCGCACTCTGAATTGCTTCTCGCTCATTTTCTGCCTTTTCCTTCTTTATTTTCCCCATTCCACTCGGCAACCGGGCCCGCCGCGGCCTGCGGGTAGTTTCTTTCCCGCGTGATGGGCGATGCCTCACCGTGTGGCCCCGCCGGCCCGGTCTGTTTGCATCCAGACCGCGCCAGTGGCGGGGCGGGGCGGGAGGCTCAAACTCCCACAACTACCAAACGATCCCCGCCTCCTCTTCTCCCCGCGCTTTCCCCTTTTCCTTTGCTTCGGGCCGTCCCCACCCCCACCCCTAGATGCAATTAGCCGCGAAACGGGAGCGACAAGTCCGAAATGAAATCACGCAATAAATACAAAGCGGCCAACTTGGGGATGGAATGATGGGCTGCTCCCACCGCAGAGGCTCCCACCGCAGAGGCTCCCGCCGTCGAGGCTCCCGCCGAGAGTGTGACGCGAGTTTGACGATAGTGACACAATGTCAGGAACGCATAGTTGATCTTACGTTACGTGCCTTTGCTGGGTGTTATATAGCCTTGATGGTCGCCTGTCTCTGCCACTGTGGCTCTTGTTCTGGGCTGGAGCAGCCTCGGCTCTACTCTACAGCCACGCGCGGTGCGGTGTCCCGGCGACAAGGGCGCGGCGGCGGCACAGCCGGGTAGGTCCGTCCGATGGGAGGCGCTGAGGCAGCAGGCAGCAGCAGCAGCAGCAGCAGCGGCAGCAACCATAACCCGGTTAGGCGGGTTGTCAGCGGCAGCGGCTCGGAACGGAAAGGATGGCTGCTTTGTCTCTGCGGGGAGGCGTCGGGACGGAGCAGAGAGAAGTCCCAAGTAGCC